CCCTTCTCTGCCCTCCCCTCGCCACCCTGCAGCTGTTCCCCCCAGTCACCCCTCTCTGCCCTCCCTCCCCTCCATCCTGGGGCTCTTCCCCCCAGTCACCCCTCTCTGCCCCACCCCCATCCTGGGGCTCTGCTCCCCACAGCACCCTGTGCCCCTCGCCCCGTTCCGCACCCGGCGGGTAATATCGCAGCAGAAGCCGCTTCAGCTTCATCTTCTTCCCACAGGCCGAAACCCAAGCGCCGGCTTCGTTACCATAGAAACCAGCCAAACAGACTCGCCCCAGTGCGCAGGCGCGGCTGGAACGGCGGGGCGAGGCGGGGGAGCGCTTTGGGGACCGGACTAGAGCGGCACCTCCCGGCCCCGATCCGCGCCAGGGGACGTTAACATGCGGTTGTGCCTGGGACGCTGGGCTGCGCGCGGGTCACGCACACATCCGGGAGGGGAGGGGCAGAGCCCGGGGAGCAACGAGCTGGGGATCCGCGGGCCGCGCCTCTGCCCCACAGGCGTGTCGGGGGCGGGAATCCATTACGCCCTCGGTGCTAGCCCGGCCTCCACGGTAGGGAATTTCCTGCTTCCCATCGCACCGCGTCAGCTCCCAGGCCGAGCCCGGAGTTGTCCTGCAGCGAGAGGAGCCCCATCGCACCGCGCCACCCCCCGGCGGAGCCGCCCAGCGCAGCACGGGGAGCGCACACGGGCCCCAGCGTGCGCCAGCCTGGCCCGTGAGCCCCAGCGCTACACCCACGGACTCCCCGCAGCTTTTCCTTGTAGGACACAAACGGTACCAAAGTGCAGCCGCGCTCCCAGCATCCCCCTACTACCCCCAAAGCTATGGCTAGTGTCGTGGTAATACACCGGGGGGTTAGTTAGACCTTTAAGGGCATTTTCTGTTCAGCTTTTAGTCTCTGTCTTTCTGCACCAAGACATTTGGGCACAGAGAATTTTTCACTTGACCACAGCTCAAAGAGCCGGGAAAGCTCAGAGGGGATGCCTTGTCCAGGTATGAAAGGTACCGGAAAGTCTGCTTGTAGAGGATCCCTCTCTTTCTTTGTGCCTAATGCAAAAAAAAAAAAATAGGAAAGCATATTACGGGTAAGAAAAACAAAAAAGAGCATAATAGAAATTAGTGTGCCAGTTTTTGTCATCTTTCACCCCCACACACACCTACTGACTTCAGTGATGTCACTGGGTAACCAAGGATAAGATTAGGCCCTATATGTTTATACCATTTCTTCAAGGGTGAAAACATAGGTAAAACTAATTTAAGGACAGAAGAGGATAACAGCGCAGAAAATATAGATTAACTGGTCATAATTTAAAAGGGATGCAGGACATTGTATTCAGTAATTTCCCAGTTTTATTTTGTAGTTGGCAATGTAACAAAGTAAACCTGCACAGAAAAAGAGAAAATTACAGTTGCTTAAACCAGATACTTTAGATAAGAACATAACATAACAACGGCTCTGTACTGGGTTAGCCCAAAGATTCATCTAGCCCAGTATCCTGTCTTTCGACAGTGGCCAGTGTGAGGTGCCCCAGAGGGAATGAACAGAGCAGGTAATCATCAAGTGATCCATCCCGTCGCCCATTCCCAGCCTCTGGCAAACAGAGGCTACTGACACCATCCCTGTCCATCCTGGCTAATAGCCACTGATGGACCTATCCTCCATGAACTTATCCAGTTTTTTTTTTAACCCTGTTATAGGCTTGTCCTTCACAGCATCCTCTGGCAAGGAGTTCCACAGGTTGACACTGTGTTGTGTGAAAAAATACTTCCCTTTGTTTGTTTTAAATCTGCTGCCTATTAATTTCATTTGGTATCCCCTACTTCTTGTGTTATGAGAAGGAGTAAATAACATTGCCATATTACTTTCTCCACACCACTCGTGACTTTATAAACGTCTATCATATCCCCCCTTAGTCGTCTCTTTTCTAAGCTGAAAAATCAGTTTTATTAATCTCTCCTCATATGGCAGCTGTTCTATACCCCAATCATGATGAGTGCAGAGTGAGTGATACTTACACTACTTCATCACCAGGATGAAGGGACAACAATGAATTTAAAAGAAAGAGAAATCGGAACTTAGGCTCACACCAGAACTGGGGCCCAGTCCTCACAGCTCATTCACTCACACAAGCATTGATTAAAGACAATTGGACTGTTCCGATAATGGCTGCTGGATTGGGCCCTGATGATGAAGAATTAGATACTTTTATCACTTTTCAGTTGCTCTGCGTTCTAAAGAGGCAGGACCACCAATCTAATACATATTTAAAAGCTACTTGGAAACCAAGAAGCTACTAAATGCCTAAAGAAAATGCCAGTAATTTAAGAAACTAAGTAAAGCTCAAAAGTCAAAACCCTGGTCAGAAACAGAAGAGGAAGACTTTAAAATATATAGTACGAACAGAGGTAATCAGCAAGGAGTCATGAAAGGATGATGATTCGTGGTAAATATGGTAAAAGTGTTATGCAGAAATAACTCAGAGCATCAACAGGGGGAAGCAGTGGACATGTTTTGCTTTAAAAAAAAATCTCATAGCAGATGAAAGGCCAATCTAATATGTCAACATAAGGATAGGATAGGTCAGAGTTCAATAACCCATGAATTTTTCAAAACATCCTTACGGCTCCCTGCAGTTTATCCTTTTAAGACAGTCCTTTGGTGTATGAAAGTTAGGAAATAGGGTACAATAGCAAATTCCAGATTTACTTGAGTGCCTGGGGTTTATTTACTTTTTGTTTGGATTTGTTTGCTTGTTTTTAATTTTTTCCATTGTCTTATTTGTATTTAGAAAGTCATTTATTGTGGGATGGATAAGAAGATAATTTCAATAAAAACAATAATTTTAGATTTATCAGAAGCAGAGTCTCCTTCCAATTAACTCTTGCCACATAACTGTATAGAGTGAACTTTCTTTGAACAGCCTCTATGTCCCCTAGGTTCTCAACAGCCCTTTCAGCTGCATTCTATCCAAGTTTGCATTTTTACATTTAAACGTTTTTGCTATCCTTTCAATAGAAATGTTGGTTCAATATTAAGTATAAACAACAGTTTCCCAGATTAACTCCTCCCATTCTGCTCTCCCCAACACACCCACTTATATATCCTTATTGATACCTCCCATATTTGTTAACACTGAGGGCCTGATTCTTCTCTTCCAATGGTGTAAGTAAGTCAGGAGTATTTGGAACTCCATTGAAATCACATAATGCAAACATCTCGGACCTTTTTTTAATCATTCTCATTCTGTTGTCACCTCATTACTGTGTTATTCTTGAGAAATATGCTTGTTTCAAGATGCTGTGTGTCATATGTCTATGCAAAAGTTAGCAGGGGATTCAGTGCCATTGGTATTACAATCTAAAGTTTTGGGATTGAGGGAGATTAGCTAGATGGAATAGTTGATTTGTCATATCAGGGGCTAGATTGGCCTGAGAAAAATAAAACAAAACAAACATTAGTAACTAGAAGAACCCTAACTAACCAGGAACATCTTCACTGATACTCCACAGGCTGGAACTGCCCAGCACACAGCTCGGCTAACTGAAGTTCGTGTTGGGGTCAGTACTGTATGCATATAGCATCACAAAAATGCAGCCACCTGTGGGGTGGAGGCAGGGGTGAAAGTAACATTCAATGCTTACTGGTATGGGGGCTGGCTCTGGGGCCCCAGAAGAGGTGGGGCCTCAGGCAGCCCATCTGTGTTGCTTGGCCAGCGCCACCCAGGGCTTCAGTGGCGATTTAAAGGGCCCGGGACTCTGGCCACCGTTACTGCAGCAGCGGCAGCCGGAACCCCAGGCCCTTTTAAATTGCTGACCCGGGGGCAACTGCTTCCCTTCCTCCCCCGTCAGCAGGGCAGGGGAGGGGCAAAAGGGACAACGATGTTAAAGCGCTGCCACGGCAGCACTTTAAGCAGGGTCCTTTGCCATGGCAGCGCTTTAAGGACCCTGCTTAAAGCACTGCCACGGCAGCCCTTAAATGTCAGCTGTGTACAGGCTGGTACCGGCAACCACTTTTTACCGATACGCCGTACCAGCCCGTACCACCTTACTTTCACCCCTGGGTGGAGGGAAATAGCCAACTAATGCACAATATTATGAGGAGAAATATTAGCTAGAAACACTTGGCAAACTCAGTGCCATGGGGTTTTTAGTGTCTGCAGAGAGCAGAGGTTCTCAAACTGGGTGTTGGGACTCTCAGGGAGTCACAAGGTTATTACATGGGGGGGGTTGCGAGCTGTCAGCCTCCACCCCAAACCCCGCTTTGCCTCCAGCATTTATAATGGTGTTAAATATATTTAAAAAGTGTTTTTAATTTATAAAGGGGGGGGTCACACTCAGAGGCTTGCTGTGTGAAAGGGGTCACCAGTACAAAAGTTTGAGAACCACTGGCAGAGAGCCTCTCGGTATATAAAGCCAGTTTCAAAAGACCCACATACATTGCTCAGAATTTAAAATACCTACACTGGAAGGAAGTTTGCACTGCTGAGAAAACCGTGAACTAGTTTTAATCTATGGATGAAGTGATCAGCTGTTATGCAGAGAGATCAAAAGTATTGACATTATCGGCATGCAAGATTAACTTCTTGTGCACGGCTTTTGCATTTTAGCCTGTGTTAGGAAAGGCAAAAAGGAAAGGCAAAAAGCTTCAGGAAAGGCAAAAAGCTTGATAAGCCTTGTCACCTGTCAGTATTTAAAAACCTTTGAAAGGCTTAATAAACACATTTAGAGCACTTGGACCCAACTGAATTTGACTGTATGGGGGGGAAATAATGCAACTACAATGAGCAATATCCCCTTGAGGCCCCATACCTCTTTAATTCTCTACCAGTTCAGTTCACATTACAAAAAATCTCTTTGTACTTAAGCCAAAGTGTCACTCTAAGGGGAAAGAAGAAAGTGTTTCTTACTCAAACCTAACTTTGCTTGCAGAGAAGGGTGGTTTTTAGGCTTCCTGATTTAAAGTTGTATCGTGACCCACTTGCTCTCAAGTAGGTCACTCTGTGGTATTCTGTACTAAATCATGAAATCCCTAGGGTAAACTGAGCAAGGGGAAGATTTTAAAAAGCCACTTCCTATTTCTGCTGTGTTAGTCATGGGTGTAATGAGCTTTTTCCAGCGGTGAGGGGGGTGTTAGTAGCCATACTGGAAGAACATGATGAGCCATCCCCGTCCTTCTTTATCTGTATGTTGTCCCCTCCCATGTGAATTCAGAAAGCTTGCATAATGATACTTCCGTATTTCTGCCTGGTTAACTAAAATGGCCAGAGGGAGTTTTGTCCAAGGAAATTTATAGTGCTGTTTGTTTGGGAATGGAATTCCCCACTTCCAGTGCCCTCTAAACACACACAAATACTTCCCTTGTGCCCCGTCAGAGATTCAGGGAGTTTTCTTAGTCTGTTCACATTTCAGCTATGTTAATCATGGCTATAACGTGTGATAAATGTAGCTATATAATTAACAGTTGCATTTCTGTATAATGCACCTTACAATTTCTAGGCATCTGCTGTCTGCATAGGTAGTTGCCATTATGTGCATCAGAATTGATAGCATGTTACACAGGAGACAAACTGTGCTCCATTCTGGACACTCAACTTACTCAACTTCTGTTTTTTATGTGCTGTTTCTTCTAATCTAAAAAAAGTCTAAAAATATATGTTTGCTCTTTGTGTACGAAAAACATAACCAACTTCTTCTG